CCCAACAGCATCAGCTAAATATAAAAGTTCAACATCTGTAAGACAATTATATAAGATAACAAAAGCAGAAGGGGCGCGAGCACCCTTCTTGGGCATGGTATCAGCAGCCATATTATTCTCCCTGAAAACATGCCTCAGACAAACTTAAGGTTTTTATTTTCTTTTTCATAAAATCGTTGGTTGATAGAATTATGTTCCCGACATTAACTTCAATCAATTTTGCCGGAATAGGAAGTAGAGTGTAGATGGGGAGTTGAACTCCAGGTTTACTGTTTTTGGGAATACCTAGTGATCTTGATGTATTGACCCACTTCCTGGTTATTCCTTTTGTACATTGATGTTAATGGGTTTGAGTACCCCTTGTACTCACATAATAAACTTCTTTTTGCTTTTCAAAAAAAAAAAATGGCCGGAATAAGAATATGTACGTAATTGATGTTGACTTTAAGTACACCATAAGTCATTAAGATTTCTCTATCTTTTGACTTGAGTGTCTGTTTTTATATACATAACGCCAATCATCACAGATCGTATATCATATCCCAAAAAACTGAAAGCACTTGTGCCCAAACTATATATTAAGCAATATATGCCAATGCGCATGCAGGCACAAACTGCAATGTTTGGAAGGTATGTCCAGAGGCTATAATAATAATAAAATATCAATTATATGATCATTATTTTAATTGTGTTTTAACGTCGCTTGGGATATGCTTGTGTGTAAACAGTGAGAAGGCAGCACCACCACCACCAGCATCACCACCATTTATTGCATCATCACCACCATCAATTGCACCATCACCACCATTAATTCCGGTCTCATTTACAAATTTGTGGCGGGCATTGGATATGAGGGCGATGGTTCTTCTGAGCCTGCTCTTACACATCGCTCTCTTTGTTATCGGCAAGCGCAGAAAGCACAGTGTTTGCCTTATGATCAATACAATGATTCTTTGGTTTGCCTACCAAAGCAAAGAATGGGTCACCATTGCTGCTCTTAATAAGCTTATAAATCCCAAAGAAGCCATGGGTACTCTTCGTAACAAGTTTTTTAAACACCACGCAGCCTTTAATTTCGGAGAAGAAAATTTCACCACAGATCTTCTAGCTTCATTCTGTGCTCCCTTACTAATACTTCATCTCGGTGGCCCTGACACCATCACTGCCTATTCTTTTCACGATATCCAGCTCTGGACCAGACATCTCCTCACCTTAGTTGTCCAATCCTTTCTTGCCTTTTTTGTCATTTTTTTTTCAATAAACCCACCTTTGTCCTTTGTCATCTCAATTCCTCTCTATTTTGTTGGTGTCGGCAAATTCATAGAGAGGATTTTGTGTCTTAAGGCCGCTGACTCTATGAAAACCAAGCGGGTCATCTCCATATTTAAAAATCCTGATCATCTATCTCACCCATTATTAGAAAATCAAAGAATCGAAAATAGTCCTCCTAGGCTATGCATTGTTTTTTCCTATGAGACCGGATGTCAATGATTACCTCAGTCATAAGGAGTATCCCCTGTCCTTTAAAGTGAGGATACAAACCTATCTAAGGGCAACCAACCATCAAGTCAAGTTAATTCTGCAAGCCTTGCTTGAAAGAGACGAGCTAAGGAGAAGTAGTAGTCATTTGTCTCATTTTGACATAGCTGTTGTAGAACTGGGGTTTATATTTGATGTTGTTTACACAAAAGCGGCTTTCATTTATACTAGGAAAGGATGCATCTTGCGCCTCACCAGCCTCACTCTTTCCACTGGGATTCTG